TAGGCTCGGGGGCCTAAGTACCGTCCCCCGTGTAAAGGTATCAAAAGTGCAAGCTGAAGGCATTGTTATAAATTGCTAATCAGAATGCTTGACCATTAAGAGGCAAAGTCAGCATACCGGCAAAAAAACCTTGACCTATAAATTTTCTTCATACCTTGGCTTAACCGTCGCGCTGATTACAAGAATGTCTGAATCGGCTTTGAAAAGCCCAAATGCGACGCGAGGGCGCAAAGCTTCCAGGGTCAAAACCTAAAGTAGTGCGGGATTCTTTCGCGGTCATAACCTATGTTTGTGTGATGAGCGCGCTTTGACTTCCAAGCTGCATTTGCTGAATGCGCGGCATCGAAACCGAAGATGGATTCCCCATTGCTTTCGTAACAAATTTTAGCTTTGCGGATCCCGCTTCAAACTTCGGTGACCGCTCAGGAGTCATTATTGCACTGCTACAAGCCCCCACTTTGCAGGACCCTGACTTCAACTTCGGACGAGAAGGTCGTTATCGAGGTGATATTGATGTTAGCGATAACATGATACTCGTTAACAATTCATAATTTGCGTGTCAGATAACCCTTGTGGGCCAAGTTACAGCAAATTCTGAGGTTTCCAAATACTGGGCCGCCCAAGTGGATGGTGTCTCTCGAACATGTTAACATTTTTCAAAGGTCAGTTAGCAACTTCTTTTTGCATGAATGCAAACTGCTCTTTCTTTGCTCGCATTAGAATTCCCACTTCAACTGATCTCCAAAGTATGGAATGAAGAGCAAGCCAAAATCTCGTTTGTCCCAATTTTCGCTTTTGGACTACAGAAGACCAATCAGACTCAAATATCCCTTGAAAAGATGCGAGGTATGAGCTATCGTCTATATGTATTTTTGTCGTACCTCGTTTGCGTTGTAGCTTCTAGCTGTTACCGTAACCCAATTTTACATTATATATCCATTGTATAGGTAAGGTAAAACGACTATATCTTTCCCAAGAGAAACGATTTTGAAGGAAATTCCTAGTGCATATAGAAGAATGTGCAGCAGTAGCAATGGTAAAGAACACAGATATTTGATCGCTCTGAAAGTAAGTCAAAGGGGTATGGCACAACACCTGAAAAGGTGTGGCAGTCACAGTATTCCTGGGTGGCCACATCCCATTAACTTTCCCTCCGAAAAGAATTTTAGAGAACAAAAATGTGCAGTTCGATAGCTGAAACCTCGTAGTTCTTGTAAATGTGATCATAGCTAAAGTCATCATCTTTTTTGAGCGATAGTTGATTAGCAATCAAGTGAAAAATGGGACAAATAAGATTTTGGCTGGCTCATAATTCCATTGTTTGAAGGTTTTTGAAGCATTTATGGTATGGACAAATATGGGGTAGTGCTTTGTATCAGTATAAGTATAGTATATACAAGTACAGTATATTTGCTGCTCTGAATCCGATAATCCACACTAAAGAGCATGAAAACGGCGAAAAAAAAGCTTTAACACAGGCAGGATATCAGAAGGGGGTGGGTTCTTCTTCATTGTGAATTAACGCTTCCAGCATCTCGTTTCTAATTTCAAGTCACGCGACCAGACTTCGCCGGTGGCGATGTTATGTCGGCTAGCGGAACGACAGATCGCTCTGTAAGCTGGGAGCGTGAATCCAAAGTGGGGAGGGTCCCACCTACCTGCTGATTGCTGTCCCGCATTA